TGTGTACACAGATCACATATTAATTTAAAAACTTTGTTTCATGAAATTAAAATTTCATAAAATTACTAATGAAATCAGTGTAAAGTTGTCCTGGCTGAGCAAAAAAACTAAAAACTACATTATGCAAGTCAATTAGATATGACCTAATTTCTTTAGCCTGGTGCGACACGCTCGAATGACATCATATCATTCACACACTGACACATCCACAGCAGAGAAGCACAAGAAGAGTTCAGTATGAAGGTGAACTTGCACGTGTGTTGATCAGCTGCTCCATCAGCTTATATAGTATTTTGTCTGTAGTGTTAAAGGTTTATCTGACAGAGTGGAGTCAACATGCACCTAAATTTATCTTAAAACTGTTAAACACTGACAGAGTGACCCACATAAAGTCTCAGATTAGAGGTCAAACTATTGGATTTCCAGTGGGGGGTTGCTCAATGATCCCCTTTTGTTGAAACAGCTGATTCACACACTATTTATCTCCATGAAAATGTGTATGCTGTTTATTTTACACAGAAAGATTTAGAAACCAAAGACACTGAGAAAAGATCTGGTCAAAATTAAATATTCATGCAGCCATGGGGCTTTACAAACAAGCATTGAAGCATTTGATCTGAAGCTGAGGTCAAAGTTGAAGCTGCCATCAAAGTGACACTAAAATGACAGCGTGGCACTGAGCTATGAGACACGGTCGACACGGTAGATCTCCGTCTGTATATTTATTTTGCTTAATACTTTATGCTGGCAGCAACCTGGGTTTTGGGGAACTGGGGATCGAACCTGGACAATAGCTGCTAAAACCACCTGAGCCATGGACGCACATTAGTTAACTCCCAAAGCTTAATCTGCATTAATAAATCTATTAATAGGCCTGGACCTGCACAGTGTAGGATTAAGTCGTGTTTTCCTGCCTCGTCAGGATTACTTTTTCATTAATTAAATTTAAACACATTTAACATACACCTCCAAATGAATATCTCTGACATTAACATTACTTTGCATATGTAGTTCCCCTTGTACGTTATGAAATACTATCATAGTCTGGATTCAAATTTCATGCAGGCATAATACAAGGAAATATGAGTAGAAGAGCACTTCACCTAGTCTGATATACACACAATGACAATCGTTAGGGTGAAAAATCAAACCAAATCGTCGGACACATGTTACCGTCTGTGTTCTTGGAATATTATTAATGAAATTTGTAGTTTCCACTGAGCTAAATGAACCACACAGGAAATAGGTAACCACAACTAACAGCTTTGGATATAGAGGCTTTGATGGAGCGATCCTGGTTCACAGAGAGGCCGAGTGCAGTGGCTCAGCAATCTATGGCAACAGAGGCCAAACGGACTTGTTTACAAGTTTGGGGAGCAGGCACCACACCTTCTCTCTGCTCAGCAGCACGCAGCACAGACACAGATGAGGGGTGATGATCATCCATCCATCTGTGGGCTCGAACGAGGGTGTCCACCTGGAAAATAATCGATGAAAATGTATTGATCAAGACGCGATCAGTATCTTAGACGATTTCATTCTTGTTAATATTTAAAAGCCATTTACTTTATTAAATATAGCAGCAAGTATACCATCATCACAACGTATCTCGGTTAATCTCGCACCGATCGTTTGCACATATGTTTGTTGCACTTGCGTGTTTGTGCACATATTTTGAGGAGATGCAGAGGGGGCGAGGTGAGTCAAGGAGTGGCTCTGGCATGGCTTTGATTATATAAAGGGCCTGTTCAGCACCCAGGCACCGTGTGACAGGCTGAGCCAATGACGGGGCCGCAGCAGTCCTGGGTTGCTGACCTCGCGAAACTGGCACAGGAACAAACGGCTTTAGTTAGCACTCACACACACTCGCACATACTCCTCTGGCCCCTCTCAGCCAGCTGAGGCCTGGGTCTAGGTGCAGAGGAAGGAGTGCTTCATCACTTGTTTTGGGGGCGGGGGTCCCACAGCGTTTGCAGCTTGTTTACAACAATCACAGACTGGCTGTGCAGTGCATATGTAAGTCAGACATAGTGGGGATATTTAACCTTATGCTAAAGGAAAGTGATAAGTGGTCTGAGTCCAAGTATCTACTGCACGACTGAGATCACCACCGTTGGCTGCCAGAGGAATAATGCATTTGGCAGGCCTTTAGTAGAGAAACATGCTTACCCAGCATTCAACTGGGCAAATGTAAATATTTAGATTCACCATCCGCTTAAACTCTCAGATTGTTACTCTTATGACAGCACATTCAGCGATCACATACAAGTAAGTTAAGAGCAACATATACACATGTGTACCAGCATGTGCTCTCACACAAACACACACACACACACACCCAGAGAGCTTCTAATCTAGCCAATCATGATGCTGACGTTGAAGTTGGCACACACTCACACACACACACTGGAGTGTAGGTTTGAAGAGCCTGTGAATAGGGAGCGGCAGCTTAGTGTCTTCCTGCTGATCAACCATAGTTGAAGCTTTTTTTAAATTCAGTTGATCTATTGAGAAAACACACCTGATTACTCTACAGGTATTTGATCAGAGCCTCAAAACAAAGTCATCATCAGTGCTGAGCAAGATGTTGGATAGCATGAGCTTGTATTGCGGCAGAATTTTGCAATAAAAATCAATAATCATTATTTGAGGAGCAGAAATCCAATGTATCAAATCCAATCAAGCTCCAAGAAATCTGTCAAAAGAAGGGAAGTAAATGTTTTATTTCACAGGGAAACACTGGCCACTCAAATGTGACTAAATAACCTTTGGTCAGTTGAACTTAACTCAATTACTGCATGGCCATGGTCAAAGTTCAAATCCAGTGGATGGGTGTTCACTAAGTCACGATTTCAGGTCAGTTCAAATCTATTAATTAGCACTTCAGCTGTCCAGAATGCTGCAGGCTCTGACATCATGCCTTAATCTCTTCATCTTGTTCAGGGACTACGACTCTCCATATTTGGGCGCGGGTGGACCTGGCCTGCATTTACCACTAATCCTAATCCATCTGGCACTAAACTATACAATATTGCCCAGGTGCAAACTGCACCAGAAGGGCAGATAATAGCTTCAGGCTGCTGGAATTAATATGTCTGGCAATGCTCTGCAACCACAACTTCCAGCGTGAACAGAAACCGGACCTGTTACTTCTTTTTCATTTGCTAGCTGTTAGCTGAATCTACTCTCCGTGCTTTTACCTGTTATTGCATCACCCACCCTGGACCATTAAAAAAAAAAGTAAATGTCACTAAGTAAGATATTATGCACATGGAGGATCAGCCTTGAATCACTGTCTCCTAACCCCTTCTTTTACAGAAAGAAGGTCACAGTTCATATTGATTGATCAATTAGCTAAGCGGTATGTGGGGCAGGCCTTGGTAAGCACTGTCTGGGTTACGATCTGAGTGAAACAAAGTGTCGTGCCTGACAACAGTAGTCATTGACTGGTTTTAAATGTAGTATAAATATTCATGAAAGCATCTTCAGTGTGTCTTTATCTTCTGAAAGGGTCTTTTTTTGCAAGAGGGCAGCTTTACTATTCAACTGGAGAAAAAAGAAGACATTCCTCGCAGAAGTAGCTTTTGTTGTGCTACAGTTCATAAAATTATTTGAAATATCTCCGAACAGATCTGTAGACCGAAGGGATGCCTCATGACGTGACCCAAAAAGGCAGATGATATTTGTCATGTCCACTCCCACAGATCTTAGGAGGTTTACCTCTGACAAGCTCTTTATAACTGGCTATTGTGTGGAGATTAACAAATCAGCCCAGATGATCACTGAGGACAGGCTGGGACAGATGACACAGGCGCAGCAATGGGTGGACCATCGCAACAAGCAAAACTGACCATGTCAGCGCCGCTCAGTAAGCCCATTGCTGCAGCATTACGTCTTTGATTAGACAGTTAAAAGGATCAGGATTAGCTTGAAGAAGTCCGAGGCTTTGCAGGGTTTAGTTAGACTGAGAGTAGGACGTACATGTGATGGAAAAGGAAACTGTTCGTCCTCTGTCTCTAGTGCACAATGCAGGTCAGTCCCACATCAGAGATCGGTCATTTAGCAGTACACGGCATAAAGACTGAATTCCTGTGACAGAGACACCTCACAGACTCAATGACTGTGTGAACTGCTCATGAAATTCAGTGGGCGAATAATTTTGAAATGAGAGAAGAGAGAGGGAGCGACAGGGAACGGCACGCAACAAAAGTTCATGGTTAGCATCACAACCCCGAGGCCATCTGGGTGCATCCAAATTAAAATATTTGTATTCATGCTGAGATTATTGTGGCTACTTCATACATATTTATTAAAACAAATACTGAAAATATGTAATAGATTTGAGGCGATTGTGTAAACAGCTAGTTGCCAGTTACTTCGGTAAATCCATCCAACCAGTATCTATATAGAATATCATTTGATGGTTGAGCTGGAGTCAATCCCAGCTGACACTGGGCAGGGGGTGGGGTACATCCTGGACAGTTAGCCAGCGTATCACATAATGTACAAAGACAAACAACCTGGGTGAGGAAGCTGGAGTACTCGAGTGCTGACCACTTTACCACTGTGCCGCCAATCATTTAACTGACATATAAGGTTATAATGTTTGGTTGTTTTGAGAAGTGTTGACTCAACTTCATATGACCTGCACTGCAGTTTGTGGTGCCGTTTACTTGAAGTGAGACATGCTGGCATGTATTTCTAAGGTTAAATAACAGAGACAATTCCCTTTATTACTCAATAACAGTTCAACCGCATCAGAAACGACCTCCTCTAAAATGATTAAGCATTTTATCAACATGTCTCTACATCAGTTTCGAAAAAACTGAATTGTAACATTCCTGAGAGTAGAATTTATCTGAGGACTTGTATGACAATATATTTTACCTCTTTTTACACCAAAATTTGTGCATATACAAAGGGGTTCAATCCCTAAAAGAAGGCTATTTGACTACTTCCCCCATTACCAGTAGAGGAGTTTGCTTTGCTTCCCCCCCGTGCTTCATGTGGGATGTCATGAATGTGACACTGAGAGGTTCTCTCACCTCACTGTCTTGTCACTGTTGCACCTTGCACACTACAAAGGGAAAAAATATCACTGTTGCACGTTGTTCCCAAAATGTCAAAAGGACACAAAACAATCATGGTTATTTATGTGCCAGTTAGTTTTAGTTTGGTGTTTGAGGTACTTAACAACTTGAAAAGCATGTTGTAGCTTTGTGGGTGCCAATAAATACACTTTGCATTATGTGATATATACTAGTTTAGAAGCATATAACTACAGTAAAACATAGCATCAAATGTGCACAAGGACGTAGACTAACATCTAAAGCAGTTTTTTGTCAGTGTGTATTTGCTGCCTCTGCATCACCAGTCAATTAAGATTCTTGTTTAAGGGAAAATGCACAATAAGCATCTTGTACACATTATGGAGTATTATCAAAAAAAATAAAAGAACAAAGAGAGAAAAGCCTCAGACACTTCCCTGCATCTTGCAATCACAAGACCTCATTGTGTCTTCTCTCTTTTCCGCAGCAAAGAGAATTCCAAACAAGCAACAAGAGTCACATCAAGTAAGTAACAAATCCAGTGTGACACAAGGCCTGATTCAATCAAACCTGCCACGGTTATTTTGATGCTGACGTGTTGGAAAGATAGATAGTCCTGACAAATGCAGTTCATCCCGAATGCTGGAGACATCTTTGCTACATTGTAAAACAAGACTACCCTGCAGTGTGTGTGTGTGTGTGGTTGTGATACACCTCAGTGGCAATTCAGATGCATGGCTATATTTAGGCCCTTTGACTTAAAGGTGAGGAAAAAAAAGCGACTGAGACATTCCTTTAGATTATATGGTGGGAAATCATATGTTTCTGGAAGCGGATGAACAGTATTTGTAAACACTGAACAATAGTACCGTAGCTGTGAAATAAACTGCTGATGAGTCACTGTGATGACGCAAAGAACTGGAAATAGATAGAAGCCCGAGCACCGAAGTGTATACAGAATCTCTTTGTGCTCGTGTTTGTGTGTCTGCAGTGAGAAATCTGCTGAACTCTTATGATTAGGTTGTAATCAGCTTAATATGTGTACTGATATAATCTTTCATGTTGTGTGCATGTTTCCAGGTCAAGATGGTGGTTACGGCTTAGAAAGTGAAGAGGTTGTTTTGTCGCCCGAAGATGAAAACCCCCTCAGGAGAATACTGCAGGTACACACTCACTATCTCCTCTATCGACACACACACACAAACACACACACACACACACACACACACACACACACACACACACACACTGGGGTGCCAGCAAACAAATGCAAGCACACTCACTCATCCACACTGCTTGACCTTGGATGTGGGAATATTGTTGGTTTCACATTCACCAGCGGTAAAACATCCTCATCCACCCACACGTACAGGACCGGTCTGACTGAAAATTCAGTGAAACCATATGCTGCATCAACTGATGCATCCAGGCAGGGTTACATGTGTCATATGGATTAACTGATTCCGTGCAGAAACCTCTCCTCAACCACTGCGTTCAGTATCGCCGCTTTTAACCATTTTGGAAATTGTCATTGCAGATACCATACCTCACATTTCTAATCTTTATCTTAAACAAACTAATAGAAATAATGATAATTTTATAATAAACGTGACTGCTACTTTACGTGCCTTGTAAAACAGTGCTGGATTAGCCCAAATGCCCTCCAATGAGACGTGGCCTCTGAGCGAAGAGATTAAAAAGCAAGAGGAGGCAGTTTGTGTTAGCACGGCACAAATGCAGTGCTATATGTACATTAGGAAAGCTTCTGTTTTCTACAGGGAAGACAACCATGCTCCCTCCTCCTTTTGACATTCAGTGATGGTTGGAGCATTGAACTGGACATAATTCGCATGACCAGGTGCTCAAAATGGTGCAAGATGCTTTGGATCAGTTGTGTATACTGAATACGTACACCACAAGCTGCTTCATAGTCATGTACACAGATTGCTCTGATGTTGTATAAGAACGATCTCACTGAAATAACTGCATACTGTACTCAGTGGACCAGAATAACTCAAATGCATGTCTCTATATGTCTATATGCCTGTGTCCTGTGTTCATGCTGGTTGAATCTCTGTAGGAGTGCCTCAACACATCCTGGCCATTTGGATTTGACTTCTTTTATCTGACAGCCAAACAAGAGCTCTGTTTTTTTAGTCTTTGTGATGCTAGATAAGAAGTAGGATGAGAAAATCCTTGCAAACACCGTTTCTAGGCCACATCCTTTGAAAAATCCCTCTTCAACTTCAAAAAAAAACCTGGTCACCCACTAGAGGGCAGACAAAGAATGGAAAACTCCTAACGCCCACAATTTGGTCGCTGGATTACTGCAGTTTCTTTATTTACCGTGTACTTAATTCCTCTCTTTGTATGTTTGCAGCCTTTTAACTGGCACCAGCCTGGGATGTCTCACAGTAAGAGGAAGCTGCTTCAGTCTCTGATGGGACCCTATGGCCCTCTGAGTGTGTCTTACAATGGAAAGACCTGTATTCTATTTAAGGCAAAGCGCCTGGCAATCCGCTACAGAAACCATACCTTTATTGATCTGACCGAGAGGGTCTTTAACACCAACTCACCCGTGGACACTAAAGGTTCCATCTGCACCAAGGAAAAAGCCACGTGAGTCAAACCAAGATGTAGACAAATGGGGTCATGCTCATATATTACAAGACAGAAATAGCACATACAGTGACAGATATTTCAAATGCTCACTCATCTACATATGAAGCCAAGTCGTCAGCATCGGTCTGATATATTTTCACTGGCTGGGCAAATACACAATTCCAATAATCATTGCAATCTAATCTTCATCAATAGCAAGATAAAAAATTATGTATATATCAATTTAATGTTTATGCATTATGTAAGCACAGTGACGAGTAACAACACACCTCAGATTTAGAAAATGTTTTGCTGTCTATCAAGTGTTTATCATTCTCCGCCCATAAGGAACAGTTTAAGTCTTTAAACTTACACAGAAATAATAATGTCTTGATATAATGTTTGGCCATATCGTCCAGCCCTTATTTTTTACTATAACACACACAAATAGAAAAGAAATGAAGTGCCAAGTGTGTGCCAAGCACTGTGTTTAGAAGGGAGTAATGGTTTGATGTCCTCAGCTGAGAATTCCTTTGATTTACTGTGTTTAATCTTATCCGTTTAATATTTGTGCTTTTCTTCTGCAACAGGCTTTCATTGAGGTTTGGTGACGTGGAGGATTTGCGAGGTCTAGTAATCAGGTAAAATGAAAGTGTACCGACATTTAAAAAATATATATCTACCTGAAACTGCATTTATGGCATTGAGTGGTAGTGTACAGGTTTACATGTGTGAGGCTTTGTGTGTAACTGAATTGTCTCCTCTCTCAGACTTCAAATGTCCAACACGTTTTATGAGGCAGCCGGTCAAAACTGGTTCACACTAGACAGCGTTCACATCCACTACAACTGGACCCAGGAGGCCACGTTCAACGCCAGCGAGGTCTACGCTCCTGCCACTTCATCCTACCATTGCCAGCACGTCAGCAGCCTGCACAAATATGACACCCTGCTAGTGCCCAGCTCCCACACTGACACATCCGCAAACTGGCACATCACTTTCACTGATTTCCAGGTACACTTCTGGCACAAGGCGCCCCTCTTTTGTCATGTACCTTTACTAGTAATGTTTGCACAAACACTGTATCGTCATTTTCCTCCTGTTTTTCATGTGCATGTGTTTAATTTTGCTTGCCAACAATCTTCCTTTGTGTTCCGCCCCTTTGGCAGTTAGCAAGTTGGTCTGTCAGTCTGTCTGTATGCTGTCTGTTCAGCCATCTGCTAGGTTGTCTCAATCTGTCCCATCTGCCCCGTGTGTCTGTGCATGGTAAGCCCAGTAAGAGCCAGTTGTCCTCTTTAGTTCCACCTAATCTCTCTCTTTCTGCCTTCTCTGTGCTCTTCCAGATCCAGGCCTTCAATGTGCAGTCGGACAAGTTTGCGTCAGCCAGTGACTGTGCCACTTTCCTGACGCCAGCCATCCTGATGGGCTTGGTGACGTCATTGATCCTGCTCCTTGTTCTAGCCTATGCCCTGCACATGGTGGTACACCTCAAGCACATCGACCGCTATGAGGAACACAAAGCGACAGTCTACTTTCCCCGTAGTCCAGAGGCAGAGTTGCCAGACAAGAACAGCCTGTGAAGAAGAATAAGACGAGCTGGATGAAGAAAGGGGAGGAGAGGGAGAGAAAAAAGCTGAGGGGCTGAGGAGCAAGTGAATACAAGAGTGAAAAAGTATCCTCCACTGAAATTTTGTTAAACAAAATTACAAAACAAAACTTTGCCTGTTCCTTTAAAAACCTTGTCAGTCTTAAATACTTTAAGTAAATGCAGACCGTGGTTGGATACTTTTTCTTCTTTCCTCATTGACCTGCATCTTGGCATCCATATTTAAAAAAAGGCCTTTGGATGTTCAAGCCTCTCCCTGAGAGATGGATCCTGATCCTAATGTCAAAGGTCACGGACAGCCCCAGGACCCTGAAGGGCAAAGACGCATACAGGCCTTTACCCCAGCCAGCCATTAAAACCACAACAGACTAGCAACTGTAGCTAATACAGCTAACACCAGATGCTCCTGATTAAGTGTATGTATTACATGGCTCTCAAGTGTCACATTACAAGCTTTCATCACACACATTGACCTTCCAGCTTTCATTACAGTGTATTTTGTTGAATACTGCTGCAAGAAATATATACTTCAAACAGCCAGTTTTATAGCTAAAATAGCCGTATCAGCTGCATGCCATAAATTGCTGGTCTATCTGGGCTAGTGCAGTGTTTCCTAATGATAAGGATTTCAGAGAGCCTTGCATGAGTTGCAGTTTAAAATGATCAAACACAAAGCAGAAGGAGCTTGAAAAGCTTTTGAGTGTAAGCCAACGGAAAATATCGGGAACCACTGATCTAGCATCTGGCTGGAGTGAATGGACAAGCACTACTGACCCTTCAGAGCCTCTGGCGTCTCTCACCTCACCCTCGAACACGACTGCTCGCTTGGGACTTAACTGTGAAAACGGCCTTTTACAGACCAGCCAGACAAAGGGGGTTCTATAAACTAGCACAACAATTGGTTAGCTGCGAAAAGCACTAACAAACTATCAAAGACTATACAAGGAACTATGCTGCACAAGATGGCCTGTCTGAGGGCATGGCAGGAACGCGGGTCTTGGGAATGACTTGACTCTCTAAGAGTCGAGCGTTTGAACAAGGGAGGCCATGGATCCTCCATCCATCCACACCACTGGATTTGACTGCCAAAGTGAAGCTACAAAGGAGTTGCCATAAAATATGGTGAGTGACAGTGAGACAATGTGAAAATGAAAGCTATCCATTACAGCTATGTACAAAACAAAAAACACATACGTGTACAGAAATGTCATTCTGCTGAGGTCTTTTTTTTATATACAATGTAACCATGAACTACTATTAGGTACAGGATGACTATGCTAATCCTCATAACCAAAAGGATAAACAAGCTGTAGATACATAAGATCTCTATACGATCATAGCTGTTTTACTATCTTCAAATATTGCACAACTAATAAACATAGGTACAAGTAAGACATTGTGCTATGAGGATTGGTGAGCATATCAATGCATATGATTTTTTTCTACAAAGTATGAACATATTACACTGTTTGATTTGTTATTTTACGCTGGGCCAGACAATGCAAGGTCCGAGTTTCATCCCACTGTAAATTACAGAACAAATTCCTAACATAGAAGGACGATACCATGGAATGCCGTCTGTCCGTCCACCCACTGGAACTCATAGATGCCATTATTTTGCCAGAAGCCACACTAGCAGCCGTAACAGCATCAGTTAGTCATTACTACTGATAAAAACACTCAGCATGACAGTAAATAGATATCTTAACATTCGATATGGCAGTTCTGTCAATCTGTAGCAGTGTGAAATGTGTTCTTTGGTCATAAATGTATCCTACAAAGTATGAAATAAGTGGTGGCGGTTTGTCCAAGGACCAACTGATGTAGATTGAACAATAAATGATATTCAGAGGAAAACGTGTGCTGTTGTGTATATGTTGATATGTTGTGCAGGATATAATATTCTGTTCCTAATGTATTGTGATCTTATCGTTAATTGTTAATTAACCCAGAGCTTTCCAACCCGGTGTCTAGGTCTTCTGCCAGCTCCGTCTCCCGCTCCTGAGTGCCATCTGCTGCCTCCTCTCACCTCTCTCTGACCTAAAATGTCAGACTGGGAGAGTTTACCTGTCCCGTCAGAGTGCTTCTTGCATTGAGTGCTTCATAGACAATCCTGATTTTCACTCTTCCTTTTACAAATAGGAAAAATACAAAGTTTGCTAGGCTACATTGCACCAGATACAAGACCAACAAGACATTTTCAGCTGCCATCTTTTTTTAGCATCACAAACAGTAGTTGAATTAGATTTAAGTGATAATGAGAATGCTGCATATACAACTCAGTTAAACGTATGTGTGCAAAAGTCACATGCCAACCTATGGGAAAATTACATATTTGATTGATTTGTGAAATGAAAATATGGACATACAACCCCCGCAGCCAACCAATGTTTAGCCTTTCTTCAGATGTTAATGCAGTTTTACAGTAGACTAATGTAACGTGAGTTTTGACACCCTACCAGGTAGAAAGTTAGTAGTAAAGAGTTAATATATAATATATGCTCACAGGCATTAACATGAGAATCAAAACTTTTTCTGTATGTCCATTAGCTGAAAACAATGAAAAGATTGTGATCTACAGGGACACCTAGCGGCAACAAGTGATCCTGCAGCAACTACCTCCAGGATAATGTGTCCTGAAGGTAGCAACAGTAGAGTAACCATGAACTGGTTAGAGATACTGATTTTTATTTAGATAAAAACACACTCATAAATATCAGTCCCCTGAACATGTGTGATTGTAAAAAATCGCCAGACATTAGGCATGTATTTTGAAATAAGCTGTATAAAAGCCTTTTTTATTTTCCCTTCCAACCATTACTGTCTGGAACTTTAAAATCACATCTTGCCCTCATACGATACAATATGATACAATACACTTTATTGTCCCCGTAGGGAAATTTATCTCACTATATGCACCAATTCATTTTTGAAACCCTGTCAAAGCAGCAATGAGATGTCAGTGGTGGAGTAGTTCCCCCTAGTGGCAAAATATATGAATTGTTAGCAGTGTACAATGGTTGTATGAGGGGAATGAAGAATAAATAATGTGCGAAGAGCAACGGGGGTAAAAGTACTGATACTTTGCTGAAGTTAAATAAGATAAGATAAGATGATATAAGATAAGATAAGATGATATAAGATAAGATAAGATGATATAAGATAAGATAATCTTTTCTTAGTCCCACAATGAGGAGCCCGTGTGTGGGTTGAGTAAAGAGAACGTACTTCTTCTGATGATGGCCTTGCAGCTGCTTCCGCAGCGTGGCGTTTATCTCCATCTCCTCGGACAGCTCTCTCTGGGTCATGCGGTGATGCGCCTCCTTCCTGCTCGCATCCTCCTCCGCCTCGTTCAGCTGACGCTTCAGGGAACGGATCCTCTGGTTCATCTGGACGGTCACAGATCACCACGGTTAGTTTGGACGAAGCATGAAAACCTCCCTGCTCATCAACGCTCCATTTTGAGGCAATTTAAACATTTCTAAAAGTCAGTATAATATAATACACTATAAAAACACAGGTAAGAACCTCTACAGAGAGGAATACAACTAATGATCGGTACAAATATTTAAAGTCTTAGATTTAGTGAATCCATTCGAACAAGAAAGGTTGACGATATTATCTGACATCAAATGTTAAAACGAGCAACGATAATGAAACTGTCCACACACGGAACCTGATCCTGAGAAGTTTTACCTCCGTTTGTTTTTTACAGAACACGTTTTCTTGAAACTCTGTGAAAAGATGAAACTTGGGGACTAAGAATGAAAGCAGAACATTTTGGCTTTGATCTGAACATAAAGGTGGAGTCAGGGATTTTTTTATACGACTTTCTTTGTCAGAGGTTTGAGCTCTACTGATGGTTTCATTTATATTTATGTGTATTTCAGATTTTTGTTTCACTAATTGATTAATTGATGTGTGTGTGTGTGTGTGTGTGTGTGTGTGTGTNTAGGTTATCATTTGTGGACATTCACGATTTAGACAGACCTTCAAAGGGGTCAGGAGATGTTTAATGGGACAGGACAGAAGACATTTCAAAGTTCTGCTAAAGTTGTCTTATCGAATGACATCAGTGCAACATCAGGGGTTATTTACTCAAGACAGAGCTCCTCCAGGACCAGAGAAGACATGATACAGCTGTTTTCATAGGATGAAAACGTTAACTGGAAAAAAACAAAAACAACTTAAATCAAGAAATTAAAGAGGACAATTGAAGCTATCTGAAATGCTGGTTTGAATAAGCACGATAAAGCAGTTTAAATGGTTTCAATAGAAAATAAAGAGTCAAATATCTTTTACATAATATCTTTGTACTCAAAAAGGTTTTACACGCTTATGCTCTTTGTAGAACTGGAGTCATTTTTCTAGATATTGGGTATAGGCGGGAAATGAATGTTTCATGTTGAGCTGTGACTGTTTGAGCATAAAGTAAAATGACGATGATATACTGGCTCCAGGGGTTTAAAAGTCTCAGACTGTGACACCTCCCCTCAGACACTAGAGTACTCACCTGTAGTGTCTCTCATTGTGTAGATGCCTATGAGTCATGTTGTTTCGTCCCATAAACAATCCAAAGATGAGCAGAGATGGTCTCATACTGTTGTTTGACATAAAATGAGACAACATCGAATATAAACTAAGGTCTGCACTGAGGTATTTATTAGTTTGTGACCCAGAGAACGTGTAGAAGACAATAGTATTGACCTGAAACTGCAGTATCTCTGAACAGTCAACTGTATCTTTCACCATATTTCATATTACCTTAATTCTCTGAGACTTTATCTTGTAAAACATCTATAATGAAGCGATCACTCATATCCACAACAAACCACACCCATGACCGCCCACACCTCCACCTGGTTCTGTTCAGCCAATGAGATTGTGTCTTACTCTGGACTGATCCCGCCTTTCTAACTTTAAACATGGCGCCTCCCTGTGCAGAGGAGTGTGTCACAGAGCATCTGTTCCTGACAAACTCTGGATCTCAGTCGCTCCTGAGGACATGAAGACATGAGGCCTGGTGCTGGAGGTGAGTCCAGCACAGTCACAGCTTCTCTCTTTACTTCCTCATCACTGATCTTCTGTGGAATCGTTTGGGAAGATGGTTCACTAGTGGAGGAAAACCTGAACTGAGCAGAACTGAAACATTAGCAGAGATCCTCTGTAGTTTTGCGAGAGAAGAGGTCTCACTCTGTCTCGTATTCCAGACTCTGAATGATTTGAACAGATTAGTTTATTGCTGTTTATCATTGAAAAGTTCAACAGGAAAGGTTTGTCCATGGTTGAAGTTGATTCCACTTTAAATGAACGTCTCTACAACAGTCTCAATTAACGTGTTGATAAAAGATCCACTGAATCACCAAGGGTCATGTTTTCAACATTTAAAATAACATTTAATACATATTGTCTTATTAGGTCAACAGCAAACTTTCTGTCCTTCATGTTTTAAAGTCCTGTTGTTTCAGAGGGACACATGTATTTTACATTAACTTTTTCACTGTGATTCATTCACTCTCTGTGGATTCATACGGTAAAGAAAACTTGCATGTTTAGGAAATGAGGAAGTGAAATTTGGAGGGAAACCACAAAGGTGGCAGGTAGTCAAGGCCTCACCTGCAAATAAATAAAAATCCAATGTTCCCATCAGCTCATCGGCTTGATGTGATTGTTTACTGCTTTCAATACAGATTATGTTATTATTTTTTACATTTTAAACAGATGTATTGTAAAAGCAGGAGGCTTGTAGTTTATTTTATGACTTGCATATTTGAGCATGCAGTCTTATCATGTATCCACTAGAGGTCGGTATAACAGAGCAATGTGGACATCACCAGACAGCAGATACAGCGGGGAGAGTTATTACAAATACATTTTAAGAAGTATTTCCTTTACATAATGCTTGTTTTGAAACAGGACGTAAGATTTTGTAAATGGAACAATAATTTATTAGATGTTCGGGTGCTCATCACAGCATCAACACAGCCTACAATAACACAGACCTGCTGTGTAGTTTTTCAAAAGACTGTGGAAGGTAATTGTCTTTTGCCCTTTAACAAATCATCTTTAATTTCTTTTGAACTCATAAACAATTTACCCTCACAGGATAGGCAGTATAGATAATGGATGGATAGATGGATGGATTAATGCATATAAAGATTGATTCTTAAATATTCATGATTACAGCTATAGGCCTGTTTTCCTTGAACGTGTCTCACATAGTTTCTCTGAGTATCTGGTTGTGCCTCTGTAGTCAGAAAGTGTTTCTTCATTACATGCTCTAGATGTCACTGTTCACTTGTCTTTGCTTGACTTTTTGTTGGCTAACAAAATATTAAATGAGCAACAAAATAGATAAATCAAGAGCTTTGAAATCCAGGGGGAAAGATTCTTTGTGTTTGACAGCGGCGCTGGAGACTTTTATTTGAACAAACTTCCGTCAGTCATCTAGAGTTCCCCTCCTTCTCTGAGACATGAATAGAAGAGTCATGTTTAGAGTTTGTTGTTAATCTCTCCCTGTGCAGAACTACAGAGCGAGGATGCTCGCAGTGCTCAAAGCTGGGGATTCGGACTTTGTGGCTGCAGCCTGTGTGGAGACAGATAGGCCTGCCTGTTTTATATGTAAAGCTGCCAGCCAGAAAGCATAGGTCCGCAGGGTACCCCGCACAACTCCTTTGTTGCAGCCAAACTGTGGTGGGGTCCCACTGTCTAAGCTGCTTTGCATTCTGAGAGCACAAGAGATGGGAAGGACACTCAGGATGGTAGGTGGGTGAAGTTGGACCTTATTGGGAATCCATGTTTACACAGTTTTTACACAGCTGCCCAGGGACTGGAGGCAGCATTCTGTT